TTTTAAGACTATTAGAAAAAAAAATAAGGGTCTTTCCTCCTGAAATTTCCCTCTCTCTCAATAGAGAGAGAGCCATTTTTCTTTCTCTTTCTTCTTTTTAGTGAGACAGGGTCCGGCTCTGTGGCCCAGGCTGGAGTGCAGTGGTGCGACCGCCGAGACTGGAGCCATCCTCCCCCGCTGCGCCCCGAGCAGTTGGGACCACAGCGGTGGCTTCTCGCTGGTTTTATCGCTCCTCTTGGAGCAAAGTGCAGCCTCAGGATGGTCACACCAGGTTGCCTGCTCATTCCTGCCCTCTGAAGGATCCTACCCATTGGAAAGGGATTTGCCAGGAGGCCTTCTGCCACCAGAAGTGCAAGTGCAGGGAGCACCAGCCAATGGCAACCAGAGCGTGGCTGTCACCTCTCCAGGGAGGCAGCGGGGAGCCACAGGCGCCGCCTCGGCCAGCTGCCCCCGGGTGGTATCCACACACTCTGAGGGAGTGGAGGGGCAGGGAGGGCATCCGCCTAGGCTAACAGTCACTCTGCATTCAACCAGTGCACAGCTGAGTGATGGCAGGAAGGGCACAGGAGACCAGAGGGCAGTGCCTGCTGAGGCCTTGCCAGCCTCGTGTTCTGGAACTTAGAGGAGAGGACGCACGTGAATGTCCATGCAGGAGCCTGGCTTAGCCCTCGTCCTTTTCCCCTGCAGCCTTTCCAGCCCCTCCTGCCTCTTGGTGACAGCTCCAGCAGCATAACTATACCCTCTGCATGGCCGAGCTTTTCGGACACTCTACTCACCAGCCTTGAGACTCAAATATTAGTTTGAGAAGTCAATTTGCTGAGAGTCAATTAATCCAAAACTCAGGACTTCGATACACACGACATGAGTTATAGGAATCAATTGTGATGATAAAAGGGAGTGGGATTTTCAGTGTATGGTCAGAAAAAACTCTGGGCAGGGCAACGGTCGGAACCATCACGACCAGCAAAAGTCCCGCCACGCCTGATGGAGATGAATGGAGATGAAACCCAACGGTCGCTGTACCTTACGAGGAAATTCCTGGCAATCCTCCTGCTCTTTTTTCTTCTTTTTTTGCAGTTCTTGGAGCTTGCTGGTAAGTGTCTGAATCTCCTCCCTAAGGCAAAAAGGGAAAAGATGACACCTCACCTGTCACTATGTGATGAAGGCCAGAACAAGGCGGGGTGCATCCATGCTCAGAAGGGGGGACACCAGACAGCCCGTAGAGTGGCAGGGTCACATCTCTGAGCCACTGGGCACCAGCTATGACCTGACTATACCAGAAATGCCAACGCAGGGTGGGGTGGGTGGTCCACGCTGAGACAGGGGGATGCCAGACAGCCAGTAGAGAGCTGGCGGGGCCACATCTGCCTGAGCCACTGAGCCCCAGCTATGACCTGACTATCAGAAACCCCAAGGCAGGGCGGGGCTTCCTGCTGTCTCCTGCTCTGGGCTGGAAGCTCCATGAAGGCCGCTGAGGACCCCCAGGGTCCAGCATCTCTCCTGAAACAGCTAAGACCTAAAAAAAGAATCTATTGTATGAATAATAAGTAAGTAGGAGGCTGGGTGCTGGGGCTCGCCCCTTTGATCCCAGCCTTCTAGGAGGCCAAGACCAGAGAATGGCTTGAGCCCACGCATTTGAGATAAATAAGCAGGGGTTGCTGGGCTTTTAGTAAACAGTATGAACGGAAAGCACTGCAATTTATATCTTCATTCCAGGTACTAAAGACAAAAAATAATAATAATAATTCATTTCTGTACATGTGCCCTTTCAGATTTACTTTACTTCTAGCCTCTGATAGAATTCAGTCAGATTTCTCCTGAAAATGAAATTTTTGTTTTGTTTTGTTTT